CAGCAGCTGGTGGCTATGGCGCTGGACCCCACATGGCCCACTGCGTGGCTTAAAAACCATGGCGGGTGCGTGTGCGTGCATGTCCAAGATCCCGAGAGAAGAATGGAGGAGAAGGGAATGCGGCGTGGCCATCCCCCAAGGTGCTTTCTTGCTGTGTGTGTGTGTGTGTGTGTGTGTGTGTGTGTGTGCACGCGCGTGCGCACACACTCTATGACAAACATTTAAAAGGAAAAAGAACTGACATGCTAGGGAGACCTCCGGCCCTGACGCCCCCTCCCTGCCGCCCCTCCCACAGAAGCTGAAGGACGAGATCGCGGATGTGTTCGCCCAGATCGACTGCTTCGAGAGTGCAGAGGAGAGGTGAGGGCCGCCGGGACCCGGGAAGCCGCCGGGACCCGGGAAGCCGCCGGGCTGCTTTCGCAGGGGGTCACACAGCCTGACTGAGCAGAGGCCATGCCGGGATCCCCAAGACCCAGATGAAATCAGGGAAGGCTGGGAGGAGGTGGCGGCAACAACGAGGCAGGAATAGGGTGGCCCTCAACCCCACTACTGCCTGGTCTGGTCTAGACTGAGCATCTCCTGACAGACAGCCCATCCTCCCACCATAATCATGCCCAGCCCTCCTGGATCAGTCCCTGACAGATCAAGGCCACGAGTGTCCCGGGTTGGCAGGGAGCTCAGCCCCAAGGACGAGGACACAGAAGCCACAGGCCTCACCCTACACACAGGGCGTCATCCACCTGCCCTTCCACGGAAAGACTCCCACTGGCTCTGACCTGGGCAGGGGCAGGTCTCGGTTTCCCCATTCGTGATGATCTGGTCCCTTGATAATCTCCAAGGATCCAAGGCACTGACTCCTCCAGGGTAGAAATCCCCGCCCTGCCCCTGCCCCTGCCCCCTCAGGTCGCATCTCTGCGCCCCTGCACACGCACACGCACACGCACACCTGCTTGGCCACAACACAGAGTAGTACTCTCAGAAAAGCTCCTCCACCTGCTTGCAGCATCAAATCCCAACAGCGTGGGGCGCAGGCGAGGAAACCAAGACCCAGGGAGAGGAAGCGGCTCGCCCACAGTGGCTTGGCCGGCAGGTGTGGAGCTGGGCTCTGTGCCCAGAGTGGCTCCAGAGCCTGCTCTCCTACCCCAGCCTCTGTGTTCTTGCATCAGGGCCCTGCGTGCTCCCCCACCAGTGACCCGAGGCTCCCCGGAGCTGTTAAGCGCTAGTGTGGGGCCCATTGGAGAGCCTGGTTTTGTGGCTCTGGGAGGAGCTGAGAGCCTGACTTTCTCTCTCTCTCCTGGAGACTCAGGGCCTGGGGACCCCCCTCCCCCCTGCCACCTTAGAGGCCCCTGGAGGATGTTGGCTCCCCTGAGGAAGGGCCCTGGGGGACAGGAAGGGTGTGGAGTAGCCCACACTACTGGGGCAGTCCAGGCTGACTCCCCCATGTCTGCAGCCGCATGGCCCAGAAGGAGAAGGAGCTGTGTACCGGGCGCAAGAAGTTCAACATGGACCCCGCAAAGGTAGGCGGGGTGGGACAGGGCCAGAGAGCTGCGTGCTGGGGACCTTCATTATGTCCTCTCACCCCCTCAGCTGACCCAAAAATCCACTTTACAGACGAGGAAACTGAGGCCAGCAGGGCTGAGCATCGTGTCCAGTGCCTGGCCAAGATGGTGGCTGGGGCTCTGTCCACACCATGGCATAGCAGCCCCGGGCACAAGGTGGGAGCCAGGATGGGGCAGGGCATGTCTCTGATGTCCATGCACCCGGGCCAGTCTCTTCTGCTCTGGACCTCCAGCTGTCCTCTGTGGGCAGGGCTCTGGACAGCGGGCTCAGCCCGGAAGTGTCTGCAGCCTCGGCTGGGGCCCCTCTGGCAGCACAGGACACTGGGCTCGTCCTCTCTCCACCCTCCTCCCCAGAGGCACAGAGCAGGCCCAACCACCACTCTGCCAGGTGCAGCTGGGCTCCTTTACTGGTGGGGACAGCGACCAGAAAAACCATGGCCTACAACATGGAGGTGGAGTCAGGGCGGCCAGCAGGGAGGGCCAGGCTGGGGTCCCTGGAAATCTCCTCCATGGCTTCAAAGGCCACCTCCTCCCCTTCACAGGCCCAGAGTGGCACACCATTCACCTCTCACGGCTGCAGACCCCCGCTCCCTCCACACACTCACACTCACTAACTCACTCACACTCTCACCCGAGCACCTGGGGAGTCCCCAGTGCATGCTGCCTGTTGCCTAGAGCTCCCTGCACCTGCCGCCCACCTTCTAGCAGCCTCTTCTACACGAGGAGCAGGGATGCAAAAGGATCCCCCCAGAAAGCAGGCGACAGTGCCCCAAACCCCTAAACTTAGGAAGACGACCCTGGTCCTCGGGAGAGATGTTTGCGCTTTGTCAAATCAGAGAAGCAGGTTTCAAGTGGTGAGCGTGGTCCGCTCCCTTTTTCTAGAAAGGGAAGGAAGGTCACAGCAATGGAAATGGTGGCCTCCCAGTGCAGGGCTTGGGCCATTTCCTCCCCTTTTGATTTAGCTGGGTTTTTTCTACCTTTTATACAATGGACACAGATTACTTGTATGAAAAACTGAAACGCTATTTTTAAGTAATAGGAGTTTTAGGAGAACAAAAGGAACGGCTGAATCATTGCATCTTAGAATTACGCATTCATAGAATCGCTGAAGCATATAATCAAAGAATGTCAGACTAAAGGGGATCCTGGGGAGCACCAGCAGGAACCTGGTTCATTGCAGGAAGCTGACACTTTTGCACGCCTCCAGTGATGGGGAGCTCACCACCTCACAAAGACAGCGTGTATGCAGGAGGGAACATAACTGCCCAGAACAGGCTGTGCCAGTGCCAAAGCACCAAGCTCCAGGGCTCTGGCCGTGGGGGCTGCCTCCCTCCCTCCCACTCCCAGGCCTGCTGTCATCCAGGGGCTGCTCACGGGCCCTGTGTCCCACCCCCAGGGCATCCAGTATCTCATCGAGCACAAGCTGCTGACCCCTGACGTCCAGGACATCGCCCGGTTCCTGTACAAGGGCGAGGGCCTCAACAAGACAGCCATTGGCCTCTACCTGGGGGAGAGGTAAGGGGGCGGGGCCTCAGGGGGCGGGGCCTCAGGGCGGGCGGGCGTGCTCACCTGCCAGTGGGGACGAGAATTCTACTAGGAAAGCCACAACTCCCAGGGCTTGCAGGAGCAAACTGCACACTCCTCCAGCTCTAACCTCCCCTATTCATTTATTCAACAGGTAAATACCCTTTACTGCCCCCCCCCCAGCTCTAGGGCACTATTCCAAGGCCTGGATTTATACCAGGGAATGTGTAAATGACAGGCAGAACTCCCGCCCTCAGGGAGGGGCGTGCTAGTGCGGGAGACAGATCCTTTCATACGTCAAATAGGCTAGAAAATGGTAGGTTTCATGGCTTATCCACAGGTGAGGCCGGACAGTGGCAGTCAGAGATGCTGGGATCATGGATGGGGGGCGGGGGGGCTGCGATTTTCAATATTGTAGACCGGAATGGTCTGATGTTTGACCAAAACAGAAAGGAGGTGACGGAGTGAGTGGTGCAGACATCTGGGGGAGAGCATTGGAGGAGGGGAGCAGCAGGCACAGAGGCCCTGGGGCAGAAACAGCCTCTGGGTCAGCAGCCCTGTCAACTGGGAGGGAGCTAGAGAGGGAGGAAGCGGGACCCTGGTGCTCTGAGGCCACCCTCTGGCTGCTGAGTGGCAGCGGACTGGAGGGGTAAGGCGGAGCTGGGCCAGCAACCTTCTCCCAAGCTTCCCAGATTCCCAGAGGACACTTGCCCCTCCTGCAGGAGCTGGGAATGCAAGTGGCAAGACGGGCAGCCCCTCCTGGGAGAGCTGGGAAGAGGGAGGAGAGGGGAGGTGGTTCTTTCCACTGCCCAGACGAGGAACTGGGACTGGGGGCAGGTCACCCGGGCAGGAACAGAGGAGGGACGTGACAGGCAGCAGTCAGGCAGGCTCCAAAGCCAGCCCTCCCCTTGGGGCGAGACCAGTGCACTGAGCCATGAAGGTGTCTGTATATGCGTGCACACGCGTGTGGGAGGGCAGGGTGTGCCCTCAGTGGGTGACTTGGGTGGGTCAGGTGTGAGCAGACCAGCTGGTGGCCAGACCCCAAGGGATAAATGTCTCTCCCCACTCTCCCTCCTCCTCCTGGCCCCCTCCAAGAGGTGGTTGCCAGCAAGCTCCCAAGCATGTCCCACCTTCCTTTTCACCCCATCCCCAGGGACCCCACCAACCTGCAAGTCCTCCAGGCCTTCGTGGACTGCCACGAGTTCGCCAACCTCAACCTCGTCCAAGCCCTTAGGTGAGTGACCAGCAGCCAAGGGCAGGGGCCCAGCCCTCAGGGTGGCCAACCCCAGAGTACTGCTGGAGCCGGGAGGTCCAGAGAGGAGCGGACGAGAAGTAAACGTTAGTGCGGCCACCCGAGTGGCTCCATCCATAGCAAACAGAGCCACAGTGCTGGAAGCCACGTGGCTGGTCACAGGTTTGGATCTCCAGGTGGGCTCAAAGATGCACCGGGCCTGCACATGTGTGCATGGAGCCTGCAGAGCTGGGGGGGTACTGGCAAGAGGGGGAGTGGTGTACCGAGACCCTACCCGCTTTCTCTCCTGCGGGCACACAGCCTTCATCATGACTGAAACGAACAAACTTTTAAAAATGAATGAATGATATCAGCTGCCTGGTGGAGCCGAGACTCAGGGGGCAAAGTTAAGTGAGGTAACAGGCTCAGAGGGCCTGGCTCAGGCCTGGCTGCATGGGGACTGCCACAGTTATAATGTTACTGAGACTATTTAATCGTTACTACTGCTGCTCCGGTACTTTCTGGATTAATGCTTGTGCTACTTATTTTACCGACATAATTTTGCATTGCCTTTATTGTTACTCATTAGTTTCCAATTAAGACTGCCTGGTGTTTACAGCTACAGGAGGCAGCTCAGTGGATGGGTCAGGGGCACAAACCCTGGAGCCAGACTGCACAGCTCTGCCGGTCACCCCTGTGTGTCCTGGGGCAAGTCACAAAAACCTGTCTGTGCCCCAGCTTTCTCATCTACAAAATGGGAATAATAGCAGCGTCAGCTTCGCAGGGCTGTGAGGAACTAGATGAGAAGGTGCCTAGAATGGACTCATATTCGGTGCTTGAGCAGTCTCGCTGCCGCTGGTGATACCCAGAAAGGGCATTTGATCTGGGCTTTGAAGGGTGAGTAGGAGTTTGTAAAACACGGAACAAAGAAGCTACCACCCTCCAGGCAGTGTGCCTTCCCTCCAACTCCCATGCTTTTTAATAGGGAGGGACGGGTGGCTTGGGTGACGCATAGACAGGTATGCATGTATTTACTCACTCACTGGACAATGTACTGAGCAGTCCCGGTGCCCAGGCCTGAGTGAGACCCAGCAGGTGTCAGGAACAGGCACCACTCTCACCCCCAGGAAGCTTAAAGCAGTGGAAATCAGCAACTGTCTGGGCTGGAGGGAAGCTCAGGTCCGGGAAGGGAGGCCCGGCAGGGAAGGCTCTCACCAGGGTCCACAACCAGGGCCCAGGGGCAAGAGGCCAGTCCCAGGGGGCTGAGGCAGACTGGGCCACAGTGGGTGCTGGGACTCAGGGGGCAGAGGGGGCACATGCTTCGCTCCCGTGGTCCAGAAGAAAATGCATTTGTGACCACTGCTGTGTGCCGGGTACTCGCACACTCAGAGCCCCTCCCATCCCCGGGACTCCAGGCTGCAGCTCTTCCCATCAGAGGGTCAAGAGCTAAGCCTGGAAGAGGCTGAGCAGCTGGGGGGGGCCCACTGAGCTCTCCCACTCGTCCCACTGCTCACAGCCCTGTCCCACCTTCAGGCAGTTCCTGTGGAGCTTCCGGCTACCGGGCGAGGCCCAGAAGATAGACCGGATGATGGAGACCTTCGCCACGCGGTACTGCCTCTGCAACCCCGGCGTCTTCCAGTCCTCAGGTGCCCGCCGGTGGGGTGCAGGGCTCTGGGACCCCTTCAGCCCTGCTAGGCACAGACCTGCCCTGGGGTACCGTGGCCACCACCCTCTCAGGCATGCCCTGCGAGCCCAGACCCCTCACGAGCCCTCCCTGACCCCATGCCAGGCCCTCTATGGGCATTGTCTGGTACAGCTGCCCCAGGCCGTGGTCCTTGAGAAATGGCACACGGTGCTCTGCCCCAGCACCCCTCGGGTAGAGAGTCGGCATGTCCAGAATGGCTTCTCAGAGGTGATGCGGTCTAAGGATTTCGAAGGAAGAATAGGAGTCTTACAGAAGACTAAGGAGAAAAGGGGCCTTTGGGGCAGGAGTTACATCTCGCATATAGGCCAGAAACGTGACACCACCTGGGGTAGACGGACAAAGGGCACCCTCCATGCCCCTGTCTCTCCCAGCGCTAACAAAACGCCCATGCAGAGACAGCCAGGGTGGATAAAGGGCCGACTGGCCCTGGCCCTTCTCTGTGTGCAGAGTTATCACAACAGCAGGAACCCGGCCATTTCTCGAGCAGCGCCCACGGGCTCCACATGGGTGGTTGTCTACGCAGCTCCCTGAGCGCTGTGGTTCTCGTCTCTCCTGGAGCACAGAACACAGACAGGGGGGGCAGGGACCAAGCCAGGACACACGCCCTCCTGGCTGTGGCTATGGACAAGTCCTCGCCCACCTTGTAGTGAGCCAGCACTCTGGAGTCTGCTCATAATTCAATGCCAACCCCAAGCCTGCAGGTGCCACGAGGCCCAGGCCGTGTCAGACCCATGTACCCAGGACTGCCCAGCCTGTAGTCGGCCAGGCAGTTGGGAAAGATTTGTAGGAGGAGGGGGTGTTTTAAAACCACAGTCCAGTTACTTTTTAATCGCATGACGCTGGACGTGTAATTTGACCTCCTTGTGCCTCAGTTTCCTCATCTGTGGGACGCAGGTGGTGCCAGTACCTGCCTCATAGCTGCTCTGGCCACGAAGAACTTAGTGCAGGACAGGCAGGTGCTGCTTTTATGGGAGGTGGAAGTGCCGATGTTCTAGACCCTGGGTACTTCAAGGGCTTACCTTCTAATGCCAAGACAAGCCAAAGGGCAGGGAGCTTGGGCACTTCCCAAGATCAGCAGAGAGCCGGGGACCTAGCTGGATACCCCTGGCTCTGGGTCCGGAGCCAAAATGTCCCTCCAAGCCCCAGCCCAGTCTCACTCCCAAGCACACAGAAGTGGGATAATGGAATAGTAGCTCCAGGGGCCCCGCAAAGCCAGCGGGCTGCAAAGCAGCCATGAGGACACTCGGAACGGTGCCCCAGAACAGCAATGTGCAGTCTCGGAGTTCCAGAAGGCAGAGAACAGAGTGGGCAGGGGGGCTGGAAGGGCTCCGTGGGAGGAGGGCTGCAGCTGGAGCTGAGAGCGAAGGGAGAAAAGGGAACACAGGGTGTGCAGGGCAGGCAGGGGGCCTGGCAAGAGTGAAAGTGCAGGGGTGGAAGGCAGGGAGCTGGGCAGAGCTGTGGCAGCTGAAGTTTGGAGAGCAGAGCCCAGAAAGAACGGGAGGGGAAGTAGGGCCTCAAAAGCCATGCCAGGAGGACAGGAGAACCTGCAGGGCCTGAAGACGGCAGTGTCTGGGCTCCTCGAGGGGTTGGGGAGGACGGGCAGTGGCCGGGGCCGGGACTGAGCGCCAGCCCGTTTGCAGACACCTGCTATGTGCTGTCCTTCTCCGTCATCATGCTCAACACCAGCCTACACAACCCCAACGTCCGTGACAGGCCGCCTTTCGAGCGCTTCGTGTCCATGAACCGCGGCATCAACGCCGGCGCCGACCTGCCCGAGGAGCAGCTTCGGGTAAGGGGGGGCAGCCCACCAGCCCGTCCCGGCTCCCAGGAGGGAAGCTGGGGGACCCCAAACAGGGGCCTCAGATACAGACCACCAGGGCAGTGATGTCTTGAGATGGGCCCTGACAAGACGCTGAAGTGGGCCTTCCCACCGAAGACGGCGAGGCTGTCTGAGATAGACCACCAGGAAGTCTTCCAGGTTTAAACCTCTGGGGACTCCGGGCAGCCGTCACTCACACCTTCCCATGGGGACGCTTCATGCAGCCCAGCTCTGTGTCATAGACAGCAGCTTGAGCTCAGCGTGTCAGGGCCGAGCATCCGCGGACTCCTAGCTCAGCCCCACCCTCCCTTACAGAGAAAGACACTGAGGTCCTCCGCAGGGCCCCACGTCAGCTTGAGAGCCAACGGGACCCAGCACGGGGACCCTAGGATGAGTCAAGCACAGCCCCCCTGCCCCTGGCCGCGTCATGGTCTGGGAGCGGGTGACACACGTGGATTTTGGCCCTGCCGGTTCATGACATGTTGATGGGAGCCCATTGCCTTTGTTTTCCAGAGCAGGGGAAGGGTGCCATCCTGGAAGACTCCATGGAGGGAGTGACTTCTGAACTGGGCCTCCCAGGTTGAATGGGAGCGTTCCCAGAGGAGAAACAAAGAAAGGGCATTCCAGAACCTAAGCCTGGTTTGGTTAGGAAAGAAGGCAAAGCATGGGCCTATGTGGACGGGGTGGGTGGCAGACGGGGCCAGAGTGTGCTGGCTTCAAGTGACAGCCTCAAGAGCAGAGACAGGGGAGCTCCTAATTTAGCAACTCGGAAGTCTGGGCTGGAGTCTGGTCCCCGCCGAGAGGATGTTTGGGTGTTGGAGAGCCCACCACCCACCTTGGGCTGGAGCAGAGGGTGCCAGAGGAGCCCTGCATATTGTAGAATGGGGGCTCGAGAGCTGTCAGAGCACGGGTCAGGGCCATCTCCAGTCCGTGTGCCGGGTGACCCTGGGCCCCAACACTGGGGTTCAAGCCTCTGTTCCCTGCACCTGGAGACAGCGAGAACAATGCCCAGGTCACAGAGCTGCTGCAGATGGCAATTTCCCAGCCTGGAGGGTAGAGCCTATGCCAGGGACAGAGCACAGGCTCTGGAAATAGAG